AATATTAACTTTTAACATTTTCATTAAAAAATCCATTTGCTACATCACCACCATCAAATTTTGACATCCCAAACTAGGAAAAAGTCAAAACCATAGGTTAACCCCCTAAACTAACCTCCAAATTTGCAATTAAGCCCCTAAACTTTAATTTGATGCATATAAGCCCCTAGACTCCACGATTTGAGCAATTTAACCTTAATTCTATAACTACCGTTAAGAATAAAGGCTACATTGCCGTAAGAAGAAGGCATAAATTGCTTTTATTGTTGAGTCCAAGGGCTTATATGCATCAATTAAAGTTTGGGCCTTAATAGTTGAATTTGGGGCTAGTTCAAGGGTTTAATATATGATTTTGCTTAGAAAAAATTAAAAGTTAATATCATCATTTAGAAATTAACAAATTTAACATCTTTAAATAGAAAAAAAAAATGCAAAGTTGATAGCCTTGTTTACCTTTTTTCTCTTGGTTTTCATATTTGGATTGATTTTGCGCTAAGGGATTTTTTAAGTTGTGTTTTAAAGTATGTAAATTTATTAGGAATAATTGTTTTATATTATGTTTTAGTATAATTTGATATGTCAATTAAAGTATTTGTAATTAATTTTATGTAAATTTTATTCAAAATTCATACTTTCTTATGGACTTTGATTATAAATATTATAATTCATTTTAATTTTATGTTTTATGTTTTATTTTAATTTAGTTTGATATGAAAATTTGTATAAATTAATTATAGATACCGTAATAAATAAGACCTAATATGTGTCCTAAACACACGTTAGACAAACCCCTAACATATTTAGATTTGTTTTTTTTTTTTTTATGGATCTTAAATGATATTATAGGATAACTTTTACAAACCATATTGAGTTTACTTTTTTTTTTTATTTGATTAAAATCAGATTCTTTACAATAAAATTAAAAAACTCATGAGAAATTAACCATCTCATATACTAAAATCTATTCTAATAAAGTGAGGAGTTGACTTAGGATTAGCCTTCCCATGGAATAGAATCTATTCTAATAAAGGGAGAAGTTGACTTTCTTAACAGTTAGGTTAATCCTCCTTGACTATGTCTAATTTGCATTGTAATTGCAAATGGGGATTTTATGTGGTGATAAACAATGAGTCCCTACAAGTAGCGAGTTTGAGTCGTGTACGGATTTGTTATCAATTTTTTATGTTAATCCTCGGATTATCTTGAAGTTTATTTGTCATTATGTGAACTATATGTTATCTTTTAAAAAAGTATATACATCTATTAACGTAGTGAGAATTTAATTGCCTAATTTTAGTTAGGCTATTTTAACTTTTGCATGTAAATATAGCTAATGGATGACATTCTAAAATATTTTTCTTTTGATACTCATTTTTTGTTGAGTAGTAATTTAGCTTAAATCAAATTTATTAATGTTCATTAATTTATTTTATAAAAATATCAAGTCAAATAGAAAAATGCAAGTGGACCGACCCCAGCAAGCCGATGGAGGCCGGCCTCTGTGGCCCCAGTAGATTTTTCCTTCCCTTTTTTTTTTAAGTTAAATTTATTATTTAATTCTTACTTTTAATAATTCAAAAACTTTTTTGTCCTTATATTTTTTAAGTTAAAGTCAATTTAAACTCAAGTTATTAGAGTTTAAAATATTTAGGATTCACTCATTTAGGATATTAGGGTTTAAGGGGTGTGTATCATTAACAATAGTTATTAGTTGTTAAATTTAATTAAATAAATTAAATATTATGAATTATAAATATTAGTAATTATCAAATATCAAATATCAAATATTAATTATTAACTATTTTAGAAAGTTAATCTGAACAGCCTATTAGATTTTCTAAGTTCAGTATTTTACAATTTTAAGGTTTAAGTTTTTTAAGATTTAGTATTTAATTGATTTGAAATTAAACTTTTAAAATTTAATAATATATTTAAATTGAGTAGAATGGAGGAAGTAAAATGGCGTCATCCTTCTCTCAAATTCTTTTGATATGCAAATAGTGAAAAAAAAAATCTCTAATTTTTTCAACTCAAACATAGTAAAATTTAATATTTAAAAATTTTAAATATTTACTAATTTAAATAATTTAAAATTAACAATTACAAGACTTTAAAAATAAAATAAAATATATATAAGATTTAAAAAGTAAAAATTAAAAAGTAATAGGGACCAATCGGCCTGGGGACCGATCGGTCCCTATAGGCTATAGCATTACCCAGTCAAATAATTAAAGTAACGGATTATGACTACCAAAAAATATGACTGAAAAGAGGAGGATTAGATAAGATTTGTGATTGATTTAAAATTTGATATTCCTATTTATTAGTGGTATCATTTTCTTTCCCTCAGCAATATTAATTAGAAAAGTAGCTCAAGATGGAAGATGGGGCAGTTGATAATTTACCTGTATCAGAAATGAGGCCAACGTGTACCATATCCGGTATGGCAGCAATCAGGCGATAAGTAGCAAGCATTGCAGTCCAAAATCCGGCGGCTGGAATCCCACACCGGTTGGCCACTTCAATGGCCCATGACGCCAACAAATCAATCACAACACACACAACTCCGCCGTCCTCATCCTCCTGAAAGAGGAGGCGCTCCAAATGACTTGGCATCACCTCCTCCATGGCTTTTTCAATAGCAAAGAAATCAGGAGCTCCAGCACCGCCTAAATCCAAACCATCCGGTATTGACATCAACTGGATCCCGTTCGTGTCGGTGGACGTGGCAATTAGCCGACGATGGATGAATTCCGGCGTCACCATTATGGGTTGGAACCCACGACTAAGCATGGCTAAACCAAATTTCAGCATGGGAGTCACGTGGCCCTGTGCAGGGTATGGAACCAAGACGATTTTGGGCATCTTAAGGCAATTCTTTGCTGCTGATCCCATTTCTTTTTTCTCTCGATCTTTTTCTAATACCTTCCCCTTTATAAAACCCTCTTCAATATATAGAGAAATTTGGGTCAACTTAGCATGTGCAATTCAAGATGTGAGCAAATTATGGTAAAGTTCCTTTATTTTCGTTTTTCTAGCACTTGTTACAAAAGGTAACTATTAAAACATGTTTCCAAAATTTCTCTAGTGATGGCGACTTAAATGCTCCGTGTCCTGATTAGAAGGTTCCGAGTAACATCCTTAGGTCATGTATGTTTAGTGGGGGTGATTCTTATTATTATTATTTTTTATAAAAATAAGTTGAATTTAAAAAAGCTCTTCAATAAGTTAGAAATAATTAAATTTTAATATTAATATTTTTTATTAAATTAAAAGATAAATGAAAAATATGTATTTTTTTTAATTTTTTAAGAATTAAATATTCTTTATTTAAGGTTTTCATAAAAAAATTATAAATCAAAGGTGAACGGTCAAGTTTTGCAAAGGTCCGAGATGTTTAATAGATGATAGAAATTTGTTTTATAATAAAAAATTCAAAAATTGTTGTTGAGATTCCTTCTAATTTGGTCAAGCATAAAAATAGAAAATTTAGAAAAATTTAAGCAAAGTAACATCCTTAGGTCATGTATGTTTAGTGGGTGTGATCATTATTATTATGGGTTTTTCTAAGGATACAAAATAAATGTACAATAAATATATTTTTTTGTCATTAATTTTTATTAAATATGTAAATATTGACTTCAATTTAATCAATTAATCAATTAAAGTCACTTACATATAAGTGATGTTAAGATATATATCAATTTTTATAATTTTTTATGTAAATTAATTATCAAAGTATATATTTAATATATCCTTAACTTATACTCTGAGAGACATGTTAAATAAATCTTATTATTATTTTTTATAAATATAAGTTAAATTTGAAAAAGTTCTTCAACAAGCTAGGAATAAATAAATCTTATTATTGATATTTTTTATTAAATTAAAAGATAGATAAAAAAATATGTATTCTTTTAATTTTTGAAGAATTAAATATTCTTTATTTAAAGTTTTCATAGAAAAAATTATAAATCAAAGGTGGAAGGCCAAGTTTTGCAAAGATCCAAGGTGTTCAATAGTTGATAGAAATTTGTTTTACTATAAAAAAATTCAAAATTATTGTTGAGATTCTTTCTAGTTGGTCAAGCATAAAAATGGAAAATTTAGAAAAATTCAAACACAGTACATATTTCTGACAACCAAATTTAGTTAAGAAGCCTATAAATATAAGCACACAACCCAAAGTTCGATAGACTTGCCGCTTCCACAGAAGTCAACACTTCAAAATGATTTGAGGCCTACCCCTTCCTTGAAAACCCAGCTCTGCATTAAACATACACTAGCGGCAATTCATTAGAGTTTCCTGGTCTGCCTAGTTAACTACCCGTTTCCGCCAGAAATTCAGAATAACACTAGCAGCAAAACTTTAGATTCTTAAGAACGTAGAAGTAATGGAATCTTTCCCAGAGGGAATCATCTTCATTTTGTTATTGTGTTTTGACAATTTTAGTCTCCCTGGTTGAATCTTACATGGTTAATTGCTTCCATTCAACTTCTGTCAATGCAAGTATAGCACTTTTGCCAAAGTGAAAAGTTTCTGTCTATTGTTAATTAGTTTATTTCAATTCTTTTCTAAGAGTTGTTATTCATTTAATAATAGTAGAATTTATCTCAGTTTAATGCATTTCTTCCCTGATTACTTTTCTAGCATTTCACATTTCTTTCAAGTTGTTTCCTTTGCATTTGTAACTACTTAGCCGATTATACATTGTGTTTCCTCAAAAATCCTCTAGTGGTCTCGCATGTGTGAAATCTGGTTGCGGGCGTGCCATTTACTTTGCTGAAAGTAAAAAAAGGAGGACTTTCCCAACGACCCTCTCCTTCCTCACGGTCGACCTCTTCGCAGATGGCGGGAAGAACGTTGGATTAAAATTGAAATTGCGCCTTCAGACGATTTGCAAGAGGGAGGGATACCTTCCTACAGAATGGGTTACGAAATCTGTCTTGGACAACTCCAATGACTTAAACACTACCGTGACTTAAAGTTATCAAGTCCTAATTATTTTAAATTACCTGCAATTTAAAATAAACTTGCGAGAAAGAAATGTACTTAAACTAAATTAAACATGCTTATGATGAAATTAAAATGCAATCTATTGACAGATTTGGAAATTAAATTGCTGCAGAACTGGAAATTTAAACCTAATTAGCAATGAAATTAAACATTAACAGTGAAATAAATAACGTGAACAGTGAATAAATTGAAGAACTCGAAATTGGAAAGAAGCATGAAAGCCACATAAGTAATCATTGAAGCAATGCTACTTAACATAAACATTAAATTAATTACAAATGAAGAGAAAACAATACCTTACATAAACTTGAAGGATTGAAGTTCATTGCATGAAAGGAAATTGTTTTAACTGAATATAGGAATAAATTTGTCTATTGGAAAGATGAAAAACAACCTAATTCTAATGGAATCTGTGCTGAAATCCAAAATCTAGAAGCATGTGCAGAGAAAATCAAAGTATGAAAATTTGCAGATATTTGAGTAGGGCTTGCCGTGTGTTCCTCTTGCCAAAATTTCCTTTTTATTCCTCTTGTGCCGGCAGTTACTCAATCATGGGTAGTTTGTTGGAGTAGTGGGATATCGCACCTTTTGACCTAGTCTAATCCCCTTCTAGATTTCGCCACCTGTACTATATCAGATAAAATCCCCTTTTTAACTGTGATCTTCCCCTATTTTCCAGCTGCCATTATCTCTTTCTGTTTCAAGAAGATAATTACTCCATAAAACATTATCTTTACCTCTTTTATCTTGCCAACACATGTGCTAATCTGTCATGGGGCCCAAAATCCAAATCTAACATGGCTCAAACTCCTCCAACCAATAAAAATTTTACACGTGGCATTAATTTAAAATTTTATAATTTATGGTGTAAACAATGCCCCCAACACTTGATTTTATTAAGATAAATCCAAATATTTTAATTAAATAAATTACCTCCCACACCATAATTACTTATGCCACATGTCAAATTCTCTTTAAAAGCAACTTCACAAATATCTCCTGAAGCAATTTTCTAGATAAACCCCAACCACTCATTTTCCAAATTCAATTAATTTTCAATACCCAAAAATAAAGAAAAGTCAAACTTACTTTTCTTTTTATTTTCCTTTTGAGTCATTGCCGGCTGCACTCTCCCTTTTTTCTTTGTTTTTTTATTATTCCACCGTCAATGGCCCCATTGAAAAGTCTCCTCCTCTTTAAGTAAAATCTATTAATTTTCAAAACAAATCCCAAAAGTAGGGACTCCTTGAAAATTACCATTAATTTTACTTTACCTTCTTCAACCTCCACGGGCCACCATAACCTTGCAGCCGACTGTTCCTTTCATTTTTTCTTTTCCAGACCCACAAAATCAAAACTAGCAAACCGGTTCCTTTTCTTCAAGATCTACTACCAGCTGCTCCCTTTCTTCATTTTTTTTTTATGCTTCTTTAGATCCACCAAAACAGCAACCCATTTCTTCACACATCCTAGATTTACTGCCAGCTGCTCTTCCTTCCTTGCTTGTTTGTCCAGATCTGCTCGATGGTCCCCCCGGAGACTCTTCTTGCTTCACAGGTAATTATTGGCTATTTTTTTTCATTTTATTTGCAAAGATTTGCTTTGCTTGTGTCTAATGGACCCTACCGGAAATCCCCTCTTGTCCGTGACTGTTGGTTGATTTTTTTTTACTTCTTTGTGTGTGCAGATCTGCCTGGCCCAGCTTGTGTCCGGTGGATCAGTACCGAGCAACCTTCCCTTGCCAAAATCATCTCCATGGCTCATGACCGAGGAGCAATCCATGCCCACCGGATCTGCTTCCATGGCCGGTTCAAAGGCCACTCCTTGCTTGAGATCACCTCCACCAGATTTGGTTAAACTCTTCCGAGACCAAAATCTTCAAGATGATATGAACAGGATACTCCAAAAACAGAAGCCATGCCATTCAAACCAAACTTTTGTTCCTCACAAAAAATCTCAGATTTTGGGTCCTTATTTTGTGTCTCATCCACCGGCTTCTCTTGCCTCCATTTACCCACAGCCCAAAGAACATCTTCTCCCCTTCCAAGTAAAACCTGACTGGAATAAATGGATTGGCTCTTTTGGAGCTTGGCCGGTTTGGAGAAAATCAGAGTGGGTGGACTGGATTGATAGTCTGGAACCTGATTTTGGCCAAATTTGGAGAGATGTTGGTTTGTTTGAGTTTATACAACTCACCAAATGCAGATGCAACATGGACAAGCCGGTCTTGGGTTCGGCTTTATTATTTTGGTTTGGCTCTTTCAACTGTTTTCATTTTCCTTGTGGAGCCATGTCTGTGAGCCTTTTTGATGTCAGCTCGTTAACCGGATTGCCCTGTACTGGAGAAGAAATTTTAGCATTATTAACCCTGCCTCCAGGCGTTGAGTATAATGCAGAGTTGAAGCCCTCTTATCCAGCTTTCGTGAGGTTTGCCTATGATAAAAGTAAGCCTGTCACTGTCAGTGCTGATGAGCATATTTCATTTCTGCTTACTTTGATTTGCAAATATATAGTCTGTTCTGCTGGTAAAGGTCCCACTAAAGAGTTCATTCCCTTAGCCGTTGCTTCAGCACATGGCAAACAAATGGCTCTAGGTCCTTTTTTGCTTGCTCATTTGTACAGGAGTTGCCAAAATATCACGGCTCACCCCTTAGTCATTAGTGGTGGGCCGCTTTGGGTTTTGCAGCTGTGGTTGTATTCTTATTTTCCAGCCATAGCTCTTGTCTCATCCGCTGTTCCAGCTTGGGATCTACTCACTTACGGCTTCATGTTCAAGAATGCCGTGGAAAACGAGAGGAGCTTCGAGGAGTGCCTCAAGTTTTTTGCTTCTCTGTCCGTTGAGCGACCCGATGCAGACTTTGCTGTGTTTCTTGGCAGAGCTCACGGTCCCTCATGGTACAGGGCCGATGTCAGATCCCTAGATTTCAAAGCGTTTTGGTCTGTTTGTGTGACCTCCTGGGATTTGTTTGTTGGCTGTAGTTTGAACACTCTCAACTCCAGATGTGGCATGTTCTATGCACCGAACCAATTCTGTCTGCAGCTAGGATACTGCCAAGACATACCATTCCCGCCACTATTTTCCTTCAACTACAGCTATATGCACCGAACCAATTCTGTCTACAGCTAGGATACTGCCAAGACATACCATTCCCGCCACTATTTTCCTTCAACTACAGCTATCCTCTTCAGTTTATGATTGGGGATACAAAGATTTTGATTACCAAACTTGCTGACATCAGAAACACTCTGCAGACACTGATCCTACCAGATCCTCCATTTCGCCCAAGCTGCACTTCCTCTTACAAAAGTTGGTGGCGAGACTACTTTCATCCTTGGTTTCTTGATGTTATGGAGAATATTTCTGTTCTGGCCCTTCCACAACTCACCAAAAAATCTGAAGGGAAGAAAGTAGTTAAAGAGAATGAGGACCTGGAATCTGCCATGGCCGCCCAGATCAGCCAGCCAGATCTGCCAAGGAAAGCTCCCAAACTTCAAGTCAAAAGGAAATTTGCTACTCCTGCAGATTCCACGGAAGAAGATACCCCCTCCAAGCAGCGAAGAACCGGAGGTAAATCTGCTTTGGCTTGCAACTTTGTGACATGTTTTCTGCTAACACTTTTTTTTTTTTTTTTTTTTTAGGATCAACAAGTCAGCAGTAAAACCATCTGCATCCAAGAAACTTATCAAATCTGCCTCTCCCTCGAGGTTCTCTTCTGTCATGGAAACCGAGACGCAACTTGACAAAACAAAAGATATTTCCCTCGGTCCTGCTGCCACAAAAGCCCATGTTGAAAACATATCTGCTGAGGGTGATGGAAACAATTCTGGCTCCTTTCACACCAAATCTGGCGATGGTTCTTCACCCGCCACAAAGGTTAGGGGTTCTAGATTCTCTTTGCGTGTAGCTAATAAAAGCTTTAAAACAGTTAGACCAAATGAACTTATCGATCTAAGCTCAGACAAAGAGAATACCCCTACACCCGTAGCTGCTCTTGCTAGGCATGTTCATGTTGATGACATTGAGGTTGTTTTACTGTTCTGAAATCTGCTTAGATCCTGAAATCTGTCACCATATCTGCCAGTTGCCATTTTTGATCTTTTGTCTTCACATTTTATAGAGTGTTGCTGTTGATGTGCCCATGATTGATGATGATTTGGAGAATGAACTCCTTGCCCAGCTGGACATGTTGATGGATACTCCGGCTAAATCTGGATCTGCCAGAGATAGTAAAGGGAAGGCCGTTGCTGAAGAAGTGGATTTTGATATCAACCTTCCTACTCAGGAGCAGATTAGTTTTGCAATTATGACCATGCAAGAGCTCCTTGGTGGCGGTCCTTCCCATTTCTGCAAGATGCTGGACCAGCCAGCCGCCTTTGAAGCGGCTCAAATCCTTAGTCGGGCTCCACAGTTATCATTTACTCAGCAAAAGTTCTGGGCAGACTTCACCACCATCTACACCCATTTCAGCAGAAAATTCCGGGTGCTTGAAAGCAAAGTAGCGGCTGCAGATTCTGTCAGGAAGTCTGTAGCGGATAGCACTACTGCTGTCTTGAAGAATAAAGAAGAATTCTTGGCAGCAAAGGAGGCTCATATCATGCAAGTTACACATGTCCAAGGGCTTAAAGAAAAAATCTCTAACCTTGAAGCCGAGCTTTCAGAGTAGAGAAACCAAGTTCCTCTTGCGGAGCAAAGTGAGAAGAATTTGGCAGAACAAAGAAACAAGCTCCGCATGGACATGGAAGCTGGATTAAAATCTACTGCCAAGATCAAGCAGCAGCTACCTTGTTTCATAGCTTCTACAGATGAAGCCGTTGAAGAGATAAAGAACATGAGAGAAGAATGGAGTTCATGGCAAAACAACCTTTGTTGATTTTTCTCTTATGTATTTCCTTGTCTTTTTGTTGGCTGAAATTACACATTGTCATGTTTGAACATATTGTTTGCGGCCTATTGGCCATGCAAACTTCTTTTCAATGTTGATCTCTTTCTTGGCTCATATTCTAGAAATCTGCTTGTTGTACTTTTTGCTCATACTCTGCTACAGGTTGAAGTTTGTCATGTCCAAAATCTGGCTGCTGTGGTGGTTCACAGCCAGATTTGGCCTCAAATCTTTCTCAGGTAGAATCAATGGTATCCAAACCTCTAGCCTCCCATATCATAGGATAGTAAGGCTTAAGGTAGATTCCATTTATTTTTCGAGGATGTAACTCTCCATTCAACGATTCAAGCCAATATGCTCCTCCTCTAAGCACTTCATGTATACGAAATGGTCCTTCCCAATTTGGAGACCATTTCCCAAATCTGGGGTCTTTCTTTCCAGGTGGCAGAATTACTTTCCATACCAGATCTCCTTTTGCCAGACTTCTAGATTTCACTCATTTGTTGTACGCTCGAGCCACTTTTAATTTCTGTGTTTGCAGCCTATCTAAGGCCGTCAATCGCATACCCTCCAAGTCTTCTAACTCTAGAATTATTGCTTCATTATATTCTCCAGAAGTGAGACCATGTTGAATTGCTATACGCAATGATCTAGCAGACAACTCCATGGGCAGAACAACATCATGTCCATAAGTTAAAGAGAATGGAGTTGCCTTGGTAGAACTCCTTTGTGAAGTTCTGTAAGCCCAGATTGTGTCAGATAGCAACTCATGCCAACACCTTGGATTATCATCAACCATTTTTTCCAGCGGATTTATCACAATTCTGTTGGAAGCTTCAACTTGGCCATTGGCTTGAGCATAATGAGGGGTTGAAGTGAGTAACCTAAATCCCATTTCTTTTGCAAATGCTTCAACTTGCGCACCAACAAAAACTGTCCCCTGATCTGAAGTCACTGTTTCTGGCAAACCAAATCTGTGAATGATTTCTTCCTTAAGAAATTTAATAATATCGGTCTGATCAACTTTCTTCATTGGCTTTGCTTCCACCCACTTGGTAAAGTAATCTGTGGCAACAATAATAAAAGAATGCCCTCTAGTTGAAGGAGGATAAACTTTACCAATCAAATCTATGGCCCACCCTCGAAATGGCCATGGTTTGACAATTGGATGGAGTTTTGACGCTGGAACTCTCTGTAGTGGTCCATGAATCTGGCAGGCTTTACAACCTTTAGCATAGCTGATGCAATCTTTCAAGATTGATGGCCAAAAGAATCCATGTCTACGAATTAGCCATCTCATCTTAATTCCAGCTTGGTGTGCACCACAGATTCCATTATGCACATCTGACATAATCTGGCAGTACTCATCTGGACCAAGACAGCGTAGGAGTAATTCATCATGTCCTCTTCTATAAAGAACACCTTCCAATAGAACAAAATTCAAGGCTTGCATTTTTGTTCTTCTTGAGGCCTTAAAATTTGGATTTTTGAGGTATTCCATGATCGGATATCGCCAATCTGTCTGGGCTATGTCTATGGAACAAGCAGAAATTGCCATACCACGCATGTGAATAGATGGCAGAATTCGTTTTTCCACAGCAACAATTCTGCTCATCACGCCTTCTGGGATTTTTAAGCCCGAGGCGATTTGTGCCATCTCATTTGCTTCTATGTTCAGATCTTAAGTAACATGCCTCAAGATTACATCATCAAATTCCTCCAAGAGCTGTACTGCCAGAGCAAAATAAGGTGCCAAAGACAAACTAGTGCATTTGTTCTCACTTTCTAATTGCATCAAAATTAATTGTGAGTCACCAATTATTTCTACCATAGGTACCTTGAGCTCTACCAACACTTCCAGCCCAATAATTAATGCCTCATATTCAGCTTGGTTGTTGGTGCAACTGAAATCTAGCTGAAATGACAGCTGGGTTTTCAAACCAGCTGGAGAAATAATAATAATTCCTGCTCCAGACATGGAATCTGTGCTAGATCCATAAAAAATAAGCTTCCAAGGAACCAGATTTATGGAAAATAAATTAATACCTTTTTCCTCATCCGCTTCTACCTCCAGGCACGAATGATCTGCCAGGAAATCTGCCAAAGCCTGCCCCTTGACAGCTTTTTGAGGCATGTACTTCAAGTTGAATTCTGACAAAGCCAGAACCCATTTCCCAATTCTGCCTTGCAACAGTGGTCGAGACAACATGTACTTTATCACATCAGTTTTCGAAATAGCATAAACCTCAGAATAAAGCAAATAATGCCTCAATTTTATTGCAGCAAAAAACAAAGCAAGACATAATTTTTCGACCGAAGAATATTTCACTTCGGTCTGTGACAGACTTCAACTCAAATAATAAACTGCTTGTTCTTGCTTTTTACTATTTTCTTGAGCCAGCAGACAACCTACAGATTCATCTGTGGCAGATATGTACAAAATTAAAGGTTTGCCTCTTAAAGGAGGCACTAAGACCGGCGGCTTTGATAAATAATGCTTTATTTCCTCAAAGGCGGTCTGATGGTGTTTCTCCCATTTGAAATCTACTTCTGATTTTAGCTTCAGCAGTGGTGAAAAAACTCTGGTCTTTCCTGCCAGATTTGAGATAAAACGTCTCAGAAAATTTACTTGCCCAAGGAATCTTTGTAATTCCTTCTTACTTCTTGGCGGCTGTGCTTCAATAACAGCTCTTGCCTTATTCTGATCTACTTCCAGACCTCGCTCATGCACTAGATATCCCAGAAAATTTCCAGTAGAAACACCAAATGCACATTTTAAAGGATTCATCTTCAGACCATGCTTTCTCATTCTTTCAAAAGCCAGCTTTAAATGCTCCAGATGTTCTTCATCCTCATTAGATTTCACAACCACATCATCAATAGAAATTTCCATAAAACGACCAATCATGTCATGAAAGATGGCGTTCATGGCTCTTTGATAAGTTGCACCCGCATTTTTTAAACCAAATGGCATTACTACCCATTCATACGTACCAATAGCTCCTGGGTAGCGGAAAGTGGTCTTTGGAATGTCCTCTTCTGCTATAAAAATCTGGTTGTACCCACTGTGGCCATCCATGAATGACAGAATTCGATGGCGTGCTGCACCATCCACCAATAAATCGGCAATAGGCATAGGATATTCATCTTTTGGTGTTGCCAGATTTAAATTCCTGAAGTTTACATAGATTCTCAGCTTGCCATTCTTTTTAACCACGGGAACCACATTAGATAACCATTCCACATATCTGGAAGTTCTGATGAAACCAACCTTCAACAACTGCTCTATCTCTTCTTTGACTTTCAAAGTGACTTCTGAAGACATTCGTCTAGGCGGCTGTTTAAAAGGCTTGAAATCTGGCCTAATTGGTAATCTGCGCTCTACCAGATTTTTGTCCAGACCTGGCATTTCAGAATAGTCCCAAGCAAAACAGTCTTTGTACTCATGCAAAATAGTGATAATTTTATCATGCAAACACGGCTCAAGAGAACCGCTAATAAAAGTAATTCTCGGATCTGCCTCAGTACCCAGATTTACCTCCTCCAGGGGATCTTGTACTTCTACCTTCAGATCATCAAGCTTTGCTGGTGCCAGATCTAATTCCTCTAATGTTATTTGATCCTTCAAATCTTCCTCTTCACCTTCATAGACTACTTCAGATCTGTCTACACAGATTCATTTTTCAGCAAGGTAAGCCGTTAATTTTCTCTTGATTTCTTCCACGGCCTCCTTTTTCTAGTGCTTAATTCGATCTTGCTTCATGGAATTTCTTCAATTTCAGGTTCTTCCCTTGGCCTAAAAGGAACAATTGCTGTAGGCTGAAGTAGTTCATCACACACCTCTTTCACAGTCTGTCTGTCCATTGCAAATCTGGTACAAGCAGTAATTCCAGAAGGTCTGCCATAGCGGTCCATCCTAAAGAAACGGATAGTCCCAATATCTTCATCATAATAACGAGCTTCCACTGCATTGGTACTTGCTACAAATGGCTTGTCATCTGCTGTCACGACTTCAGTTCTGCCACCATTCCAGAATATTAATTTTTGATGCAGAGTTGAAGGAACACACCAGCTGGAATGTATCCAATCTCTCCCAAGCAATGCATTATAAGTGGCAATGGTTTCAACCACAAAGAATGCACACATGAGAGTTCTATTTCCAACGGTAAGTTCCACTGGCAGAATTCCCCTTGAGCGATTGACTCCACCAGTAAAGTCACTGATTGTCACTTCTGTCTCCATTAAATCACCCAAAGATTTGCCAATCTTGTGCAGAATACAAGTTGGCAAAACATTGACAGCTGCTCCATTATCAACCAGAACTCTATTTATTGGCATACCATCTAGATGTGCATGAATGTATAATGGCCTAATGTGCCTGGCCATCCTCTCTTCTGGTTTTTCGAAAATGATTTTATCTACTGAATCCATACCATCATCTTCCTTAGTTGGGATCTCGATGACTTCTTCTTCCTCAGCCAAATCTTTCTGGTGACAGACTGCAGATTCTGACTGCTCTCTTGCTTGAAAAACCAAGGGAAGAGGAATCACCAAGCATGATAGATTCACGGAAAACTCACCAAAACAGATTACATCTGACGAATTTTCCGCTTTATCTGACACGTCAAACTTCACCTTCAAACCGGTTTCTTCATTTGATTCCACAGCCAGAATTCGAGGTGATGTTGGAATTCTGGGTGGTTCCTCCTTCTCTGGTGAATTCTGATCAGATGTGCTCCCTTTTTCTTTACGGACCCACACTGATTTTCTTCTTGCTGGGAGCGGCTGTGCCTGATCTGCCATGCCCCCCGAGTCTGTAATATGCTGTCGGTGACTTTCTGCAGCCCTTTTGCGTTGTAAACGCCTCCTCAAGGTCCTTTGATTCTAACCTTTAGGAAATTTTGGATGCACCACACGTTCCCATCGTTTGCTTGGAGATCTGGGTGGTGGTTTCACCATTCTGGGCTTTTCTGCGCATCCAGATATCGCAGTTCCCTGATTTGCATTATTTTTCTGTTGAGTTGAGTTGTGCCCCCCCCGGCTGTCTCCTTCGGTATGAGCCTGATCTGACCTGATTTCTGCGAGCTTTGGCCTCCTCAATGACCCACCTCAGATCATCAGCTGCAAGTCTGCGCCTATAGTATGTCTGAGTTCTGTCTCTGGCAATGCTCTTGAGATCTGCCGCGTTCACCCCAACAGACATGGTAGGGAATGGATCTACATCAACTCCCATAGTTTCTTTGGCCTTATCTGGAAAACGCAAAATTCCCTTGTCGATTTTATCTTGTAAAACATTCCGAAAAATCACACAATCATTAGTTGAATGTTTCCAAGAATTGTGATATTTGCAATATTCTCTACTTCCAATTTCGCCAGCCATTGGGATTTTATGTCCCGGCGGCAACTTAATTAGACCACTCTTTTTAAGGTGGTCAAAAATTTCATTAGTTTTTGAAATGTCAAAGGTGTATTGTTTTCCAGCCTCTCCGACATAACGTTTTACTGTTCTGTCGGTCTGTTGGGCCACTTTAACCAAATTTGGGCAAACAACTGGCTTGTCTGCCACCACTTCTGCCACGTCCAGATCAAAGTTCGCATCACCATAATACGTCCCATGAGATGCAGATTTCCTTTGCGTGTCCTCTCGCAATAGATTTTCATAACGGGCCACCTTGTAAGACAACTAAAAGAAATCACGAAACTCCATTCCCTCAAACTTTTTCCTCAATTCAATGCCCAGACCATTTTGTGCCAGCTTAACAAATTCCTGTTCTGGCAGGGCAACTCTGCACTTAAGTCTGGCCTTTCGAAATCTGGCCAGAAAGGCCTCAGATGTCTCTCTAGGTCGCTGCACCAGACGAGATAAATCTGCCATGGACACTTTTGGCTCACTACGGTAGAATTGGATGTGAAAAAGATCTTCCATCTGCCTCCAATTATAAACTGAATTCTGTGGCAGACTCAGATACCAGGTGAGAGCTGTACTAGTTAAAGAACTAGGAAAAAGCCTGAGCTTCAGATTATCATCACCGGAGGCCTCACCACACTAAATTGTGAAGCAGCCTATGTGTTCAATTGTAGAATATCCACCATCTCCAGAAAATAGAGTGAATTCTGGAACCTTGAACCCCCTTGGAAAAGGATTCTCTTGGTCTATGAAATCTGGATATGGTTTTCTGTAAGCAGGTCTGACAAAAGGCCTCAAAACTAGACCATAAGCCTCCTGCACCATGTTGATGATCTGATCACGATTAATGTACTGTCCTAGCAGATTTTGAAGATTTTGTTGCACCAGTGGCACATAAGGCTGAAAATGCTCCCTTTGTGGAGGTGCATTATGTTGTTGATGTCCTCCATTTGGTCGGTGCGGAGGTGGCAGATATCTAGGATGCTAGTGATTTCCCAGATCTGCTGCACGTGGTGCAGCCTCAACAGGATCTGGCTGCACTGGTCTGCCTGCACTGGTCTGCCTGCTACCTGCTGAATTTGGGGAGGTGGCAATGGTAGATTAACTTGCCCCCCGAGTGCTGGAGCTGGAATATTCTGATTCTGCCTTTGAAGATATGCTGCTTGTGGCTGAGGCTCAATTCTGACACGTCGAAATGCCTCTTGCATTCGTTCCATTTTAGCTTGGAAAGCTCTCCAATTTTCTGCATTTTGCTCGCGCCAGATTCTGTTACTTTCTTCATTGGATCGCCGCATGTCGGCTACACTTTGGGCTACACTTTGAGCCATATTCTGAGCTAGATTCTGAAAAGAATCATCCAACTGTCTAGAAACCTCTTGGCTTCTTTGTCGAGCTTTCTCCTCAGATTCCATCAGTGTATGCCTCATGATGCTAATCTGATCTTGTTTACACCTAAAATAAACCAATAGGGTAAGGCCACGTGTCAAGGTAAAGCCCAATTATCAAGAAAATCAAAGGGTTGGATTTGGGCTGGGTTGGCTTACAATTTAACGACCCAGACGGATCTCAAAGGAGGTTGGATTCTAGGTGGCAGAAGATAAGATGGGATCTGGTAGTTTGGGTTTGATTTAAAATGGGAAATTGAGGATTTTTAGGTAGTTATCCTTAAGGTTGTTGGAGATAAGGTTAAATAAAAATTGGATAACTATCAAAGTAACTACCAGACCTGCAACCCCACTACCAGATCATGGAGGAACAGTACCGGAAATCATGGAGGGAGGGTGACAGCACCGAAGCAAAGAAAAAGCAGAAGTGGAGATCAGTTACCAGCCTGCCCAGCACACACACAGACTGCCCAGAGCATGTTTTTCAGCTTTCAAACTGCATTTTCCAGATTTCAGCAATAGTTTCCAGATTTTCCATATTAGTTCATAGCCTTAGCCTAGGTTTGTTCATCATATTTTCTCCCACAAATTCCAATTTAGATTAGTTTTTAAGCATTTGGAAGCAACTTAGCCTTCAAAACAGGTCTGCCCTTTTGATTCGGTTAGTTCTTCTTCTTTTTATGGATTTAGTTATGTTATTCGTTCATGTAAATAGGTTGAACAT